TTTTGGAACAAATAATTCAAGTGCAGGTTTAATAGCATAGCAGAATCCGTCTAACCCGGCACCATACCCTTTGTATCATTGAAAAATCTGACACGTGAGGAAGCTCCGCAAAGCATACTGTGCCACGTATATTGCTAAAGACCAAAAAACCAAATTCAAGATACCAAATTCATTCTCAGCGCGTCATTCCACGACGTCTCAGCAAGGAGATGAACATAATTATAGTGTCCAGAGTTTATGTTTGTTTTTATTGCTCCTGATGTTATCAAGAGCTAATAGCTATAGTACATGGTAAGTAAAATCAGTAATGATTCTAACATCTACCACGAGGGGGCGTGAGCTGCAATCAAAACATCTCCTTTATTCGTATTAAGCGTGAAATCTTTTCCAACAAAAATGAAGCTGATTTATACTTGACATTTTCACTGATTAAAGTTTATTTGATAGTTAATTAAAGATTTTCTTTAAAAAATGTAATTAAATTTTGAAAACATCTCACGAGCCGGTTTCTATGGTAACGTAAATACCGGTGACCGATGTTAACGCGTGGTGACGCATCTGCCTCCGTCAACAAACATTGTCACACCTGTCATGAACGACGAATCGTCGCTAACCAAAAACACGATGGCGTTGGTAACGTCGTGTGTCTCACCAACTCGTCCCAATGGATGCAGCGTTGAGCGTTTCTCGAAATACTGTAAGATAGTTATAGTATAGGTTAAACTTACAATTATAGTGTAGTAAACTTACAATAGCCATTATTTGTTGTCTTGATAATTTATTTTCATGTTTTTAGCTCAGCTGACGAAGTCAGATGCAGCTTGTAGACTCGCATGATTGTGCGTCCGTTCGTCCGTCCGTCCGTGCGTCCGTCCGTGCGTTCGTGCGTCCGTTCTTCAACAGTTGGGCACAGATCTGAACTGCTCGACGTATGGTCTTGATATTGGGAACGTCGGGAGGGGGGTCGCAAAAAGGACGCGGGATGTCGAATTTGGGGGTCAAGGGTCAATGGTCAAGATGTGTCAATGGAGGGGAAATATTTCCTCATTAACTTAAGGTATTGGAAGAAATACGGAATTGCGACACAAATCTCAACGGCTCGACCTACGCTCTTAATATTCGATGTATAGTGTGATGGGAAGCAACCCCATCACCAACGCGAAATTAGAGATCACAGGTCATGGGGCTGTGGAGGAAAGGTCAGATATCAGCTATTTTTTGAGGATATGGTTTAACGGACCGAGTGCAAAACCTTTTAGTTTCAGCGCTGACCTACCATTTTTATCACTTTATTGAAAGAACCATGAAATCTACTTTCCGCTGACGTGCAAAAAGTAAGTGTCTGATAACCTTTTGACCCGCAAGAGGAGGGTTAAACATGGATTTGTCGACTGCTAACAAAGGACTGAACTGTTTTTGCTATTAGAGCCCCCTCCATCCGCCCACCCTCCCCCACCCCTACCCTCCACTAACCCCCACCCTCCACAACCACCCTCCCCTACCCTCCACAGCCACTCTTCCCCATACTCCTTCCATCACCACCACTACGCTCGCGCTCGACGCATAACCATGATAACGTTAATATAGCGAAGTTATTAAAGTTACACAGCTATATCTTTATTACTGTACTACCGGTATAGCAAAGCCTATTAACGCGGTGGCGGGGGGGGGGGTGACGCACTTGATTCAGTTGCCAGTGAGTTTATCACAAGAATACCCGGCTACAATACACGTCAGTTGAGCGCTGTCGCTCTGCAGCACTTGTTAATTTGCATGGTTGTACCTACCGCAGCTAATGCTTCGTCATCCATTAATCCTTCGCGATTGTGTGCATCAGTCTTTATAGAACCGGGACTAAAAGAAAATGTACATATGTTTAAAATACTGTCACGATAATTTAACTTTTACTTATGAGATGCTATAGTCAGGTTCACTGTGTAATTTTGTGAACTTTTTGGGGGGATTTGAAAACCTATACATTTTCGGAATCTGCAGTATAGGCAATCAGAAAACCAATGTTTACACTTTGCCGGAAGCATGCAAGGCGGCCATCTTGGATTTTCAAAATGGCCGCTTTCAAAATGGGTGTTTCTCAATATCTCAGCATCCAAGTGGCCTAGAGTCATGATTTTAACGACCAAACATACATTTTCAGGGGTGAGGAAGTCAGTAGTACAAAGTAAAATAAGTTAAACATAACCACAAAGCAGATTATAATATTCATTTTATTATAATAAATGTTCTAAATGGCTCAGAACTTCTAGATGTAGCAAGTCAACCCTCTAGCATGTCTAGGCAGCTTCCTGCACACAACTAAACTTCAATATCATGATAGCATGACAAAATAAGTGTGATATAGCAAAATCTGTGATATATAGCAGAATCTTTACACATCATCATCATCACTGTCACTGACCGGCAACATGTCATTCCTAGAATCCTCATCATTCTGGCACTGAGTGCTGCACTGGCAGAGGTCTGTGCATGATAAGTTATTGGACCTGCAAGAGCATCGAGATGTTGAACAGTCTGCTTTGCACTGGCATCTCACTATCTCAATGATGGCCTTGAGGGCTGGGAGGACCTCAGTTGTGATGGGTTTTACCTGATCAGCTGCTGTGTCCTTGTAGAAGCCATGCTGCAGCGGATCCAGGAACTGCTGCTGAGCAATGCTTGCCTGACCCCATACTGTAGCCTGGATCTGGACGCTGTGGATGTGCTGCTTGAGAGCACCATGAGTGGGAGGCAGCTTGTCACTTTCAGCCATATGCTTGCAGAAAAGATGCCATTGCAGCTCAGGGATGCTCGCAATCTGGATGCCCTTTGGTGCGTATGCAGCACAGACGAATGTAGCCAGCGTTGACAGCAGCTCTTCAGTGACTTCAGCGGCATTTGAAAGCATCTGCAGAGCATTGATGACTTCTCCGCCTGCTTTGAGATAGACTTGCAGCCAGGTTGCCTTGCCTATGCGAGAGAACCTCCCAGTGTTGTCTGCCTCGTAAATGTGTGGAAGGCTGGCAAAGCCTTTGCTCTTCCTGGACCTAGATCTGTCCATATTGACTGCACTTGGACCACTCCGGAAGCCATCGACATGGACGTGTTTTTCAGCAGAAGGTCATAATGTGCTATGACCAGCACCAGAACATCAGTGTCTGGGGAGAAGACCACCAACTGTGCATCAGGTAGGTTCCTCTGTAATGCCAACACTGCATAGTAGATCAGCAGTGTGTCCGCCTCTTCGTGATTGTTGTCCTCAATTAGCAGCTCGCTATTGCTCCTAGTACGTCCTGCGGCAGATGCAATAACCAGCTTTGACGAGTCTTGGTTGTACTCCAGGGTTTTTGCTGTTTGATACTCAGTCAGATCAGCCTTCGTTTTGTCATGGGAAAGGAACCGGCTCATTGGGATGTGCTTGATGCTGGTGTCATCTCTGATCTGATATTGGATCGGATCCTTTCCTTGTCTCTGTTTCTCCCTTGGGGTACTTTTCAGAGAATCAGCCTTGAATGTGTCAACCACCAGAATGATCTCATCACAGTCTCTGAGTCACTGTCTGTGAGAGACATCAGTCTGGTATTGAAGCATTTACTGAAGTCTTTGACGGTCACTACCATGGCTGGTTTCTTAGTTAGCTTCCGCACGACCAATATACCGTCCACCAGTGCAATTTTTCAATTGGAAGATGATCTTTAGTGGGTGTGCAGTCCATGGTTTCTGGATCCACTGCATCACGCTGCAGAACACTTGCATCATGCAGCTGCTGCTGCTAATCTTTATCGGGTGGTTCTGCTGTTCCCAGCTTCTCAATGAGGTGGATCAACTGTGCCTTGTCAATACATGGCAGCATTGCCCCGTTTGCCGCAAACAGTGCCCTCGGTGTCAACGTGAACTCATAGTTGCCGATGGCTTGTTTCTGGTCGATGTCTCGGTTTGAACTGGCAAGGACCATCAGCCTTCCGTACAGATCCTTGGTCTCCTTCAGATCTACAGTCTTGTCTCTGAGTTTCACACTGGTTTTCTTGTTGCCAGACATGAACATCTTTGTTGTGTTTCTTCACTGGTGCCCAGAGGCTGACGTCCCCATTAATTCGCTCTGACACGTACTCTTTATAAAACTTCTGCCCAGTGACATCAATGTTCAGGATCTGTGGCACATACTCGTCTGGGATGTAGGCATGGGTGATCAGTTTGTGCAGCTGGTCACCTTCAGTGTCAAATGGATTGCCATGACTCAGGATCGCAGCCTTAATGTTGTTGATTGCGTCATGCTCCCTATTGGTTGCACTTGGTCTAAGGTCATGGTGCTCTGTGACCTACACATCAAACTGACTCTTGAACTCGCTCGACAGGCATGACCGTTTTGGTGCAGCCATAAAAACCTCTGTCTAGCGTTGGCGTTGTTGGAGATGCCAATCAGCCCAGAGTGAACCTTTATCAGCTTGTTCAGATGTTCGCATGCGTGGTCTGCACCAATGGATACAAATGAAATCTCGTTCTTCGTGGCGAATATGTTTCCAGCTTCTAGTTCCCTCCAGGTATTCGGGTGGTCTGTTCTCATGGCATACATGTCTGCGATGTACCGAGGCCAGAGTCGCTTGTACTTGATCCGGTCCATAGCAAAGAACATCTTGCTCAGTGCTTCTCCTGCTTCGAGATGGAGCACTAGGTCAGCGTTTCGGGATGCCGCCACAAAGAACAGGCTTGTCTCCACTCGGTGTAGGTAGTTCATCATTGATTTGAACATGGCATTCTTGGATCTCTGGGCCTCCCAGTCCTGCAATGTCTTTAGCACTTTAGCATTGGTCAAGGCTTGAAGGAGGGTGATGTTGGCATGTTTCACGGATTCAGCCTTTGTGCATTTGTTCCCCTCAGAGCAGGCAGCTTCTACTACCTCCGTTGCTTCCAAGCAGATGTCTTTCAAATGTGGGTTGTCCGTGAAGAACTCCTCCAGTGCCATCTCATAGAGTGCTACATATGAATAGATGTGGGCACGGAGAGCACGCTTGTAGTGTGAGCATTTCAGGATTTGTTTTGTTGTGGCAGAACCATAGACATCAGCTTCCATTTAGCATTATATATGCCGGAGTTTTCCATGGAGGCTCCGAGAGCTCGCAGAGCAGCCATGACGACGTGCAGTTCGCCCAGTCTGGGGACAACTGTGTGCTTCAAGTCAGGCCTGGCATCTAGCAGTTGCACCACCTTCTCGTAGTAAGCCATGTCAACTGAAATGACCGTCGGATGATCATCACCAACTGCCAAGTACCTCAGCTGACTTGCTTGTATGATTACAGTCAGTAGGGTCGGCCACTCGTGTGCCACCTCTGGCAGTAGTGGTAATTGCATTCGAATGCTACCGTGCCCTGTTGTGACTATGGCAACAACCCGGCTTCAGCCGGTTTCCGCATATCAAGTCATGCACGATGTCCCGGCCACGGCCGGGACCCGCAGTGAAAGGGTTAAAAAAATAGGGAAAAAATAGCCATTTCCAGAAAAACAATAGTGAAAAAATAGGCAGCCATTTTGAAAATCCACGATGGCCGTTTTTTGGTTATGTTTAGCTTATTTTGCTTTGTACCACTGGCTTCCTCACCCCTGAAAATGTATGTTTAGCCGTTAAAATGACATAGTCCATGACTCTAGGCCACCTGGATGCTGAGATATTGATAAACACCCATTTTGAAGGTGGCCGTTTCGAAAATCCAAGATGGCCGCCATGCATGCTTCCAGCAAACTGTAGACACTGGTTTTCTGATTGCCTATACTATACAGATTCCAAAAATTTATAGGTTCGCAAATCCCCCCAAAAAGTTTACGAAACTCAATATCTGGACATAGTGAACTTGACTACTTGGATTATTGGAGCGGTACTGATAGATTTATATCAAATGTACCACAGGACTATTACTAACAGTACGTAACTTAAGGATACAGTCAGGGTTACGGACAGGTACTTCTTTAAAGGGCATTGCAACATAACTGCTCATCAGATTCAATAAAACTCATATCTATTTTATAAAAAAAAGATGTCTATCTACGCTCTCAATAAAACTAATCCAAAAAAAACTTCATCGCTAATTACGTGACGGATAAAATTGTGAATTTATATAAAAATATGATTATTTTCATATTTATCACAAACAGCAATTAAAGAGTCTAGACATAAACTCTTAGCAATCAGTTATTCATAGTATCAGAAGTAGATAATAGGAAAGGAGTGGGACTTCAATAAACAAGGAAAATTCGTCATTTACTAGCCTTAGAATACCTACGATTTACTACGCGTAACTCAACCAACTTGAGCTTAAATCGTACACAGTACATTCGCCTAGCATCGTTCGAAATCGTTTCCTCGTATACACCTGCAATCCGGAAATACAGACTAATACGTACGACACGATTATCCATTCTGCTGCCAGCAAAGCGAATGTATAAACCGCCAACGTAAAACAAAAGGCAGCTACTAACGACTCTTGCGCATTTTTGTTCCCTCAGTGATGCGGTGTGGCTCACTAGTATAGCTTCCGTTTGTTTCGAGTTAGGCGGTTTACACATTCAGTTTGCTGGCAACATAATGGAAAATCGTGTCGTACGTTTTAGTCTGTATCTCCGGATTGCGGGTGTATACGAGGAAACGATTTTGCAAGATGCTGGGCAAATGTACTGTGTACGATTTGAGCTCAATGGTTGCGTTACGCGTAGTAAATCGTAGGTATTCTAAGGCTAGTTAATGACGAATTTCTCCTGTTTACTGAAGTCACACTCCTTTTTTATTATCTACTTCTGATAGTATGAACTAAAAACAAGTTATTGGAATTTTTTTAAATGCATTAATTTTGGAAATAAGTTGAAAAGATACACGAAAGTTTGTAATGAATTTTAAAACGCAACAATTTTGTAAACAAAGAGCCAAACTTCTAAAATATAATATTTCATAAAAATTACATGGATCGTTTTCCTTTAATATTTAAGCATTAAAACGGAATTTTTTGGGGGAATTGATGTTGTGAGTTTCGAGAAATAGCTTTTGAAAAATCAGCAACTTCAGCATTTCTAACTGTTGTGGACTATCAGTGGTTTCTATGATGTCATTCCGGTTTCTTTGCAACACCCTGTATGTGGAAAACGTAGCAAATGCCACCTGGCGAATTTTGTGAACATATGGAAAATAAAACAAGAGTTTTGTTTTAGCAACATCAGAATTTTACTCTGTCGATTTACGGTGGTTTTGGGTCAAGTTTACGCCCAAATGTCTATCGTTACTAACATATAATGGTGACGAAACACGGGAAACACATATAGAATCGACAGAAACAGGATAGAGGCCGCAGTAAAAAATAGAACGGGCAGTGAAGGCTGGGTGAGTCGGACAAAAATAACCTGCAAAAAAGCATACAAGATGGCGACGTGGATGTAAATAAAACTGTAGTTGAGTCGGGATTGGAAAAGCTGGACCTTTGTCTGGCTGTGTTTAGGAGGTCGACAGCGCGACGTTGAGGCTCAGTGTAAGGATGAGGAGGAACTCAACAACTCGATCGAGAGAACTGAGACATTGCTTGACAACGTTAGTGTTGTAAAAATTGACGCTTTGAGACTCAAAACCAAGCTTAAGATCCAGGCAGCAGCTGACCTCAGGAATGCCAGTTTTAAGGCTGAGGCTGATGATGTAGATAGGGACAATGTCGGTAGCGAACTGGACTTAGTAGGCCTAGGGAAGTTTAAGCATAGCGTCAGGCTCCTGAAGATAAAACTGCCTAAATTCAAGGGGGACGTAACATCATGGTAGTCGTTTTGGGATAATACGGGCATTGCAACTATCTCGACGTTTACTTATTTGGACTCGCTCCTAGAGGGCGAGGCCAATGCCGCAGGAGGAGAGAATATATCGTGGGAAGACTCCAAGGTAGGAGTTAAGACTCCGGCACTTTCTATTTCTAGTCCCCTGATTGGCTGCTTATGGTCGCTTATGTTGCAATAAAGGTAAAGCCTTGATAACATCTTTGAACCGACTGTGTTTCGGTTTCGCTTCTGTCTATTATTATACGCTAGTCTGCAATATTTTATTGCTACATAACATAATATAATATAACATTAAATGTTGTGACAAATACTTTCATGTACAATAATTTATTAGGGTATCTTACCTTACAGCGTTGCATCTCACTCCGTTACTAGCCAGATCTAAAAATAAAAAACAACAAATACGAAATACCGAAGATTGTACTGTTTGGTTATATTAATTTATGTTTGCTTAGTAATATATCGGAATTTTATGTTGCATAATAAAAATGCCATGTTTAGTAACGAAATAAATTTATTAATATAAATGCTTACCGAGAGCTGTGCAGCAAGTAAATTGCTCTATTGCAGCCTTTGACATAGAATAGGCATTGACCTCCGGGGACTGAAACGTGTGTCAAGTGCTCTATTTATATTACGTTTATATACGTCATATACAGTTTTAGAAAATACTGAATCAAAGAGCAATGCCATTTTTCTGTAGAATATATAATATATATATATATATATATATATATATTATATGTATATATATATATATACACATATATATATATATATATTTATATATTATATATAATATAAAAATAACCTATTGATGATATGGGACGCAGTCATTACCCACCACCCTAATAATCGAAGAAGGAGAGAGAAAGTCCGACAGAGACAGAAAGAGAGAGCGACAGTCAGACAGAGAGAGAGAGAGAGAGAGAGAGAGAGAGAGAGAGAGACGGAGAAAGAGAGAGAGAGGGGGAGAGAGAGAGAGAGAGAGAGAGAGAGAGAGAGAGAGAGAGAGAGATAGTGGGAGCGAGAAAGAGAGGAAGAGAGAGAGAGAGAGAGAGAGAGAGAGAGAAAGAGAGAGAAATTTAGATATAGATAGTTTTAATCATAGATATAATTTCATTTGTATGAAAGTTTGGATTACTCACTGATCTTAATCCAGCAAGAGAAGAAACGTTTACTATGACTCCTGTAAATCAAATATAAATGAGTAAGAATTAACATGACAATCGCAGGCATATCGTAATTATAAAGTGCTGAATAAAAAAATCCGTGTGTGCGTGTGTAGGTTAGATATATATACCATATATATATATATATGTCGTCACTATGGCCTCACAATAAAATGGCGTAAGCGCTGACATGTTTAAATACTGGCTAACTGCATGTTTTCGTTCATCAGTTCATTTTATAAAGTGAATTCGATAATACGAACACGGCTATAAGCACAATTGATACGTTACCCTTTGTTTCTATGAGGAATGGAGCCGCCAGGTGGGTCAGGTAGAACACGGGCCTTGTGTTAGTGTTCATTATTTTGTCAAACGTTTCTATGCTAGTGTTTAACACTGATCCAGTAACGTATATTCCTGCATTATTCACCTGAAAGATTAGGATATGGTTGGAAGATAGTAAGAAAGTTTAATTTAGGTAATTTTGGTAAACGCATGACTTGAATTGTTGCGAATTCTGTTAGCTGTATACTTTTCGGTAAAATGTTTACATATAACCATCACGATACCGTATGTCAAACGTATATACCCACCAAGACATCCAGCGTGCCGTTGTAATACGAAGTGCATTCATTGAAGACTCTCTTTAGATCTGCATCAACAGCTAAATCTCCAACACTGAGGAACACCTGTGGCATTAGGTTCGAATTAAAGGTTATATTATTACGGGAATAGAGCAAATAAATCATGCGGTGCTCCAGCGATAACAAACTTGTTTTAATTCACGCTTGATAATATTTGTTAGAACTATGAAAAGGACCCAACGTTCGGATTTTAGCGTTTACTCAGTTATGATTTAATTGCCACATGGTGCCATTTATGAAAAATAAATTCTGTGTTATTAATTTTATTCTTCAGGGGTAGTCAAGTATTGCTGTGTAACTCAAAACACTTATTATACATTTACTCAAAATCGCAGCAAAAAACCAAAGTGGCGAATTACATATTAGTTTTTCTACAGACAGTACGCTCTCAAAATAGTATATATGTATAACACACCTCGTTCTCTGCGAGTCCCTTTACTACACACAGCTGCTTGGTTTTCTTGAGGGCAGCAAAGTCTCTGTCAGTAAGAGCTAGCTTAGCACCAAGAGATGCAAACCGAATGGCTGTTGCTGCGCCAATACCCCTGCTCGCCCCTGCAAGCAAAAATATCGATCCATGACAAGGGTGGAATCAGGAGTCAATCAATACTGATACTGATCGATATTGATAGACTCCTGGTGAAATTATTTGCGATTTTTTTCATTATGAAAGCGCTCGGCAACTTATAATAATATATTATGAAGAGAAAATCAGGTACTTAATTACAAGTACAAGTACTGTACAACAAGCGAACGCGAACGTTACCTGTTATCAGGCACACCTTTCCTTTCAGTGACGTCATTTTATCTTTACAGCGTAAACCAAGCTAAGAAATGAGAAACCTAGCGATAGATATTAAAACAGCGGTTTATCAAACACGAACATGACGTAGTAATTGGCATTGCGACTCACATCTTTTAGGAACACGCACCACGATCAAACATCACAGATTCCCTCACTCACAGCAGGACTTGTAGGGATAAAAGTTACACGTACAAGCCTAACTTAGCGATGGCACGAGCAAATATAGTATTGTCCCGCAAAATTAATTGCAAGTCACCTCGATTTTTAACGCGTGTTTGTAAATTCACATAACCTTCCATACATCGACTCACCTGCGGCAGGCGACAAACCAGCAACAGTATTAATTAGCAGGTATGCCTCACAGTAGTAATTATAGAGGCTTGGCATAGCAATAATAAATAGCACTAGTGTGACAATTTAAAAATAACCGCGTACCTTGTGTCTATGTTGGTTACGTGCGCGTCGTAATGGAACCCACTGACGTTCTCCAAAAATGGCAGTCAAGCCTTACCGCTGTTACGTATTTATTTATAGATAATTGTGCATCAGTGACCCAGGCTCGTTTCCATGTTCCCATTGGTCGCTGGTTCTACATGAAAACCGCATTTGCTGATGTGTTATTCTCAAGCCATTCGCAATCTTGTTGACAATCTATCGCACGCGCACGTGATCAGTCTAGAAAACAGAGGAAACGGCAGAACTGTGTCCTTGGTAGACGAAGTAAGCAACTGAAATGCGATGTTCTGTATTTTTGGCTCAACCAGTATCAAGTGCATAGATCTCTCATTGGAACGACGGATGGAGGGGAAGGGTACGTCAGCTTTGGGTGCAGGAGAAACCGACCGCGTCACTGTCTGGTAAACATGAATAAAAAATCGCATTTGTTGAACTGGAAAAGATTTCCGAGATTTTGCCGGTTAAAATATGAAAATAATATATTACAAAACGCCTAGTATTCGCTAAAACATTAAACCGCAACTGCTGAACTGGGACTGGGAGAGTGCTGGACTCCTATGTTTTCTTACTTAGTGTTTAATAATATTAGCAATCTTCCGCCTTCTATATGCTCTACGCGTGCTGGTTTGATGATAAAATATCTGGGAAAATTAATGAGCAATGGGCGTAGATGTGAGTGATCATGTCGGCATTGAGATTTGCATCACTGTATCAGAGCCGGGTAATATTAATTACTGAACTTTATTTAGCTAATAATATTACTGTAACGTTAAATTATGAGTTCATGTAGAAATGATGAAGAAGGAATCCAAACTTGTGTCTTGAACTGCATAAACTTTAATAACTGGCACACATCACATCTCCTTGCACACAGGGACAACAACCAGTGTCGTGGCCACAACCAGCTTCGACTTCCTCTCTATTCTATATATTATCCCCAAAACCCCTACATCCTGAGCGCACATGTACCCGTTCTCCCAGGCCGGGTCCTACCCCACATATACAATGACCCTAGAAACGCCCGACCTAAAACACGTTTACCATTCTCCCAAGAACATCAATCCAGCCTCACAAGATGCGCGACGCTCCGTCTACACAGACCACCACCAAAAAAACCCCCAGCCCTGCCTCGCTGACTAATTTGTGCAACACCTGCAAAACACATTTACATTATCTACCCCTTCCCCAAGACGATGACTACCCTGTCATCGATTCAGCGTCCCCGCTGATCTACACTTTAACCTAAACATAAACACTTTCGACTCTAATACTTTCTTAACTCAACCCAACGAGAGAAACGTTTTTATTTCCAATTAAACAACCCACAATCAATACACAAACATAACAATAATCAAAATACAACAAGAAAACACATATGAAGCATAAGGCTTCCTATACAAAACAAGTAACGATAAAGTTCGATCACCAAACAAGTCAGAAACTCAACACATTTGGCAGTGAACATTTTGATATCGCTGCAATTACTCTCACTCTTTCGTATTTTTATGCTGTAACGTACGTGGCGTATGCGTATACCGACACGCGTTACCTAAACCACGTTTAGCCATGTACTCCATTCAAAAGCCTCATTTAAACCTCTTAATTCCATTATTAACACACAGCACCGATGTGGACCTGACAACCTTTGTCACTTCCACACATCATACAGCCAACAAAAATACGCAAAACTAATTTCATATTTTTGATGAAATGTTTTAGGCCTATCAAACTCTAGTTGAAAAACTATAATTGAAGAATGTGTTTAGCAGTCTGACAATATAGCGTAAACGTACCGTTAGCACAAATTCAAGAAAGCGATCACACATTTCTACACAACGTTTCACCCAAAAGATTTTCCACACAAAGACCGTCACGGTCACAAGCATCTACCTTAAAAAAATAAACCGCGTACATAAAACAAAGAAAAAACATAAAAATACACATTCCTGACGATGTCACACTTTTACGTCCTCTGTCTTTGCTCTGTCAGCCTTGCCTTCTCTATTCTGCTCTCCTCTCTCTCTCTCTCTCACATAGGTCGAGACTCGGACTTGCCATCGCAGTATCACGGACACAACACCGGCCCTTCCTTCCTTCACTCTGACTTACTCACATAGTTCTCACGCCGTGTGTATCCATCGTTCTCTCTCCCGCGTCTCGCTCTGTTCCTCTAGTCTCGCTCTCCGCCATTCTTCGTCTCTGTCGATCGCTCTCCGTCGTTCTTCGTTTCTCCTACTCTTGCTCCTGTTCCCGTACCTCTCTCTCTCTCTCTTCCTTCGTCTTTCTTGCTCTCTCATCCGCTCTAGGTTTCTCTCTCTCCAGTTTTCTTGCCAGCGGTGTACCCAGCGACTCCTCCTGTGGCTTCTTCCTTCTCCATCTTCCTTGTGTAGTATGGCACGTATATCGACATAACGGATCGAGTACCTTACGTTGCGTCCGCAAAGGAATACCCAGGTTTTTGACTGTCACTGGCACCAAATGTAATGTTGAAATGAGAGTTCGATGTATAAAATAATGATATAGCAATCCAAACTTGTCTGGTAATCTGAATAAACTTTAATAACTGCTCGCACACAGTGTGTCCATCTTGCACAAAGACAACGCAACGCGCACACGCGCGTGAGCGCGTGTGCTTCCTTTCGCGATCACCACCACAATCCTTTCTAACTCTTACATCTCTATCCTATATATTACACCCAAAACTCCTACATCCTGAGCGCACATGTACCCGTTCTCCCAGACCGCGTCCTACCCCCATTTCACAATGACTCTAGAAACGCCCGACCTAAAACACGTTTACCATTCTCCCCATAACATCAATCCAGCCGCACAAGATGCGCGACGTTCCGTCTACACAGACCACCACTAAAACAACCCCTAGCCCAGCCTCGCTGACTAATTCATGCAACACCTGCAATAACACCTACAAAACACATGTTACATTACTAATTACTGAATTAATAGTAAGAATGTGATAATCGCGATATTATGTGTTTTTAGCTCTCCTATTGTATTACTGTTCGTATATAGTAATTGAATGTAATGAAATGTGTGTGTGTGTGTGTGTGTGTGTGTGTGCGTGTGTGCGTGTGTGTGTGTGTGTGTGTGTGTGTGTGTGTGTGT